ATGTTTAAAAAATTATTTTATCCTATATGCAGGTTTTGTCAAAGTAATTCCTTCTTTTGTAAAGCAAAAGTGTGCAAGTGTTTTTGATTTTTAAAAACTGGAAACACCTCTTTTTAGATGTTCTTTTACCCCAGAAAAACCTCAACTGACTTGAAGGCTCTGGAAATGAGATGCAAACTGAACCAGAAAATAGTCTAAACTTCTGCTGAAATATTTCTAAAATAATCAGTCCATTTTCTATACACATAAAACAAAAGAAAAACTAAACCAAACCCGTTGCCATCGAGTTGATTCCGACTCCTAGCAACCCTACAGGACAGAGTAGAACTGCCCCATAGGGTTTCTAAGGAGCAGCTGGTTGAACTGTCAACCTTTTGGTTAGCAGCCGAGCTCTTAACCACTGTGCCACCAGGGCTCCTTCTATACATATAATATACTAAATATGCCTACATCTTGCAGTGCCTCGAGAGTGGTCCCTATAGTTTTAAAAACATCAAGTAGTACTGCAAAAACACTGAAACAACAGAGACTGAACAGCCTCAGGACCATCTGTGTAAATTATATTTAATTTTTAAAACCCCAGTCTTCTTATGGTTTGCTTTCTTCTCTGCAAAGCAGCATAATGGGAAAGGTGGACTTCCAATTTTCTTTGGTAAATTAAACAAATTCATTCACTCAACAAATATTTAGTAAGCACCTAGTAAGCCACGAACTCGATTATGTGCTAGGAATACAATGGTGAGCAAAAACAAATGGGTTCCCTCCATCATGGAACTGACAGTCTAGTGGGAGAGACAGACAATTTCATTATTAAATAAATGTATATTTATAAACTCTTATAGTCCTGATATAGCTGCAACATTAATGCATCAAAAAAAGAAACCTAAATCACTGCTTAAAAATAAGTTATTCTCTTTATTAATTCTGTTCTGAAGTAGCTGTAGCACTCATTACATAAAATACCTTTTATGCTTTTTTAGAAAAAAAGAATTGATTGAAATGAGTATGGGAAATCATTTACTCAAATCGATTTAACAGGTGTTATCTGTGGACCGTGTTTCCTCACTTGGGGAAAACCATGACAGGATATGTGTATATCACATCTCCCCAGAGCACCTGAACCACTGCTACGCATGTGCAGATTCCTTCAGAACGAGAACCTTTTCCATCTTCTTCAGCACAGTATCCCCAGCACTCAGTTCACTGCCTGCCACGTGTTAGGTATGCTTGACATTTTATAAATGTCGGAGTGAATAAATGAACAAACAAATGAACGAACAGGAGGGTTTGAAACAGCTAAGATGTTTTGAGAAGAGTAAATTTTACCTAAAATAAAATTTTTAACTATGTATATCGCTACAGATGACATTCAAGTCTACCTTATCAAAAAAACCTGTTGCCGTTAAGTTGATTCCAATTCATAGTGACCCTATAGGACAGAGAGTAGAACTGCCCCACAGAGTTTCCAAGGCTGTAATCTTTATGGAAGCATACTGCCACATCTTTCTCTCATGTAGCGGCTGGTGGGTTCAGATAGCCGGCCTTTCAGTTAGCAGACAAGCACTTAACCACTGTACCACCAGGGTTCCTTCAAGTCCACCTTAAATGATGCTAAATTTTCTAGCTGAGATTCAACTCTAGCAAACATTAACTACTTTAAGATGCTTCAGATCACACTAAACTGTGTTTTAATTCTTCCAGGATAACAGAGCCAATATAAGATGGGTTTAAGTATAAACAGATGAAATAACTTCACTTCTTACCTAGATTACTGCAATAGCTTCCTGGCGGGTCTCCCTGCTTCTACTCTTACGCTACGCATTCCCATCCCACCACACCCAACAGCCAGAGTGATCTTTTCCTAATGAAAATCAGAACACATCACCACCTGTACAGAACCCTCCAATGGCTTCCCACAGCTTTCAAAATGAAACACAAGCTCTAGGCACTGCCGTTCTCTCTGCCTCTTACTCCACTCTGTCGTTGCTGTCAGGTGTCCTTTAATCAACTCTGACTCACAGCAACCCTATATGACAGAGAAGAACTGCCCTATAGGGTTTTCTAGACTATAATCTTCATGGAAGCAGATCGCCAGGTCTTTCTCCCACGGAGCAGCTGGGCGGGTTCCAGCCGCCAACTTTTTGGTTAGCAGCCGAGCCGTTAACCGTTGCACCACCAGGGCTCCTTTTTCACTCCACCTGAGCCACACTAATTTTCTTGCTGTCCTTCAACCACTCAGGGCATCTGCACTTTCTGTTCCTTCTACCCATTGCCGTTGAGTCAATTCCAACTTGTAGTGACCCTATAGGACAGTGTAGAATTGCCCCACAGGGTTTCCAAGGCTGTCATCTTTACAGAAGCAGAGTGCCACATCTTCCTCCCGCAGAGCAGCTGGTGGATTCCAAGTGTGACCTTTCGGTCAGCAGTCAAGTGCTTTAACCACTATGCCACCAGGGCTCCTTCTTTCTGCTTGTTACATTTTTGCCATGACCTTCTAGTAGATTGTTCCTCACTTCTAATTTCTGCTCTAACGTCCCATTTTATAAGAGACCATTCCCAACTATCTACATCTAAACTAGCAACTCCTCCTTCTCTATCTCCTTTGCCCTGCTTTATTTTTCTTCACAGCAATGACACATATTATTACATAATTGTTTACTGTTTATCTTCCCCACTAGACTGTCAACTCCATGAAGGCAGAGGTTTTATTTTATTTCTATGTCCCTGGTTCTGAAACAGTGCCTGGCACACAGCAGGAACTCAAATATATACTAACCAATTCAAACATCATCAAAGATAGCTTTTATGGAGCAAGTGTTACCATATTATATATAGGAGCACTTTGATACAGTCCTCTCCTGCTATGAGTAGTAGTATTTTAAAAACAAAAATTGATTCATGAATATAAAATAAAATCAGTTTTTTTCAAGCAATATCAAAATGATTAATAACATAAAGCAATAAGTAGGTGAAGTTTTTAACACATTATGGAAGGAAATTTATTAGGAAGAACTGTCCGACAGTGAAAGACAGCGGGCAACTTATTTTCCAGAGATTTAAAAGAAATAAACAAATAAAATATCTCAGAAGGAAAAATATGCAATGGATAATATATTTAATCCTCTTTGATGTTGTCTCTACACAATTCTTAGGGAAAAACTCAAAAGTCAAAAATAAATATCAAAACATACTTAAAATTCCAGCAACATCAAAATAATAAAAGTGCTTTTCTAGTCAATATTATTTCTAAATTGTAGAAAAAAAATAAAGAAAACTTATGAGAAGATGGGTTTGGAATGAAGTTTAAGAAGTCTATTGTGTATCATTTTACTCTGCCATTTAAAAAATTCAGAAAACACTGAGCTATTACTAAGTAATAAACACTGTAAAAACATCCAAGCTTTGATAAGTAACATATGAAGCCACAGGTAAATAATCACATGTACTTTCAAAACACAATACTTGAACTCTATGTTCAGCTTGAGAGTCAATTTAGCCAAAAGAATCATGGTATATTTAAAGACCACATGCAATATATTAAACAACAAGGCCAAGAAAAATGTATTATTAAATGAAAAGGAAAATAATATGCGATCTGTGTGAGTTACATGTTTCTGATGCTGAATGCTTCTAAAATACTAAAAATCTCTGGCAAAGTACAGCAGGTTCAAATATCATGTACATGAATGTTCTCCCAGGACAAAATTTTAACATTTCATACTGATACAGACAAAAAGACTAAGAACACTTGAATTGCTGAATTCATATTCCAACAGGATTGTATTTCGCTTTCCTAAAAACAGAAGATACTGTGCAGATTTGTAGTCTAAAGAAAGTAAACATGCTTTGCTTTCATCGGGGAAACCAAAACATATATGTGTGTTGGTGAGCAATGAATCAACTGCTCTGTATTTGTATGTGAGGGAAACGAAAACAAAACAAACCACTGGGCAAGTGTATCAAAGTCAAGACTAATACATTATTAGCCTCATACTATTTCAGGGTCTTCTTATGTTCCAGAGAACTAAATATCCACGTGATAATGAACAGTGGCAACTGCATTAACTTAAGGGCAGGATTACACAATAGAATCTTTAACAACCATCCTTAAAGACTTCTCAAGTCATATTTCTGTGTGCATCTTTTTATTTGATAGATGACAAATCAAGTTAAAAATAGCACTTCAATTTTATTTCTACAACTGAAATGCCTACGTCAGACAAAAATCAGAATTCTATATTTTATTTAAATTCCTTTTGAATTTTTTGGAGGCAGCATACCACTGCAGATATAACACTGGGCTTCGGTATCAGGAAGAATTTTGTATACCAGCTCTGCCACTGACCTTGCACAAATGACTTTAACTTCTCTGGGCCTCAGTTAGCACATGTGTAAAGTGAGGTGAGAACATCTAACTTACAGGCTTGCTGTGACAACTGAATGAAAAATATTTTGAGACAGAATGACTTTAAAAAGGGAGGCAGGGATTAAAATTTATCTACCTAAAGCGATCTAGGCTCTGTTCTGGCTCTTTCCTTTCCCCGCGTTGTGACTCTTGGCAAGTCTCTTAGCTTCGACTGTTTTCAAGGCCATGACAGGGGAAATAACATGCTCCCTACCTCAGACTAATGCAGGAATCAAATAAATTAACACCTATGAAGGCGTTATGAAAACAAATGCACAATAATGTGGAAAAACTTCATTCTTGATAGACAAGCCAAGCAGGCAACAAAGATAACTATGATTTCTCATTTCCTGGCATATACAATTTTATTTCTGTATAACACACTTCAAACATTGATCACACCTCCTAGTAATCACTGTGTGACTATGTCCTCACTAAAACTTCTTGAGACCGGAATGGCATCTTTGTTTCCTCAATGGCTAACATCAGGCATACAGTAGGTGCTCAGTAAATGATTAGTGAATTACAGTATGCTCTATCTACCCTGCCTGTTAGCAGATATAAGCAATTCATTAAGAAGGAGAAGAAGAATTACCATTTTCTTTCCGTAATCTTGTTATGAACTTCTTAGGAGGTATTACACCAACCTTTTTCTTCTGAGTGGCTATGCTATGGAAGAGGTCTGCTAAGCATGTAAGAAGGTTCTCCTTCTTCCTAGGTTGACTCTTGTATGCTAGAACTTTTTCCCGAAATGGACGACAAAAATAAAGTGCTTGAAGAACTGAATTGCAGTAGCAGGTATTTCCAAACTAGAAGAAAAAAAAAAGTTTTGTTAAATTTAGGGCAACTCATTTTCAAGACAATTTCCATATGCACACTTAAGACATCAGGAAGAAAAGATAGGGAATTTATGATGCTCATAAACTAAGAGGTACCTGAAAGCACAGAAATCATTCTGAATGCAAATTAACCATCTTAACATTAAGGAGGTGCTCTAGGCATAGGGTTCAGGTTAAAACTGAAGGGAAATATATGTAATTAACTAGACCTTTATGAAAAACTACTTAAAGAGCTACACCTTCAGTAGAGAGATCAGTTAAGGTTTAGGATTCTAGGTAATTTTTTTCTTTTCAAGTTTCCATTTTTATTATAATATTGGTTGTATATTCAGCATTTTAAATATTATACATTTTAAACTATAACTCAAAAAATTAAAAAAAAACACAAAAGCAAGATTTTTCTTTCAGGTTCTTAGGTGTCATCTTAAAAAAAAAAAAAAGAGGAAAAACAGTATCTTCTAAAATGTTAGATTACAAAGTTATCAACGTGATAGCCCAACAGCCGCTGAAATATCAGGTCTCCTCATTCTTGATATACTAGTCAGACATGCTCTTCAGAGCCACAGTCCAATTCTGAACCTGGATCTATTTCTTACTGGCTATGCAATCTAGAGTATGTCACTATACCTTAATGAACTTCAATTTCCTCCACTTCAATTTTTTTTTGGGGGGGGCAGGGAGGGGAGAGAAGGGAGATATCCTACCTGATAGAGTAAATGACACCTAGTTTGATAAATATTTATTACTTTCTTTTTCCCTCCCCATTAATAGACTTCGGCTCCAAAAGTCCGCTAATGAAATACCAAAAAGTCAATGTATGAGTTCCCTGGAATGCTATGAAGCTGTAAAAAAGCATGTGAAAAATTCTCATATAACTACCATGGGTGCTATCATATACATATTAAATGTAAAAAGTTAGGTACTCAGCAGTGTCTAATAAATGGGCAATATGGTCAAATATGTACATAGATATACACATATTTGCTTCTATTTTCAAAAAACAAGGGAAGATAAATTAAAAACTACTAAAAATAGTTATTTATAGGGAAAGCAGCAAAAGGCAGAAGGGACAAGGATGAAAGTGAGACTCCTATAAATGGATCTCGTTATAAAGTTTACTTTGTACCTTTACTTTACAAAAACAAAAACATAAAATTAAATCAAAAAAGAAAGAAAAAAAAAGCAATCCTTAAAATTGAAAACAAATAGAAAGAAATGAACCTAAATGAATGTTTATCCAATTGGTGGCGTAACTACACAGAGGGAAAAAAATTACTTCAGGTGACTTTAAAATACAGTATTTTTACTGTCTATCTCTAGTGAGATATAATCTAAGAATAAGGAAAACCATAAAGAAATCTTAAATACCACTCAGTAGTCATACTGCCAGAATTATACTGATACTGTTATTTTGAAACTTCTATAGATACATTGCAGGATAACACAAGCAAGAAATTAGGTTAACACCCTTAGGACAAACAATTTTAGTGTAAAGGAAAAGAAATATAATAATAAAAATCAGAAAAGTAAAAGCCCTGTAAACTTCAATTGGAAATGGAAATATCAGTATAAACTCACCTTTTTTAAAAATCTTAAAAAAGTGTGAGTGTGTGTGTGTTTAAGCTCTATCTACTGAAAAGGATAGGAGCAAGGAGCTTCCCCTGTACCCAGATTATGGTCTCTAAATACATTTTCTCATCAAAAGGGAACTAGGACACCTTGGAAATGTGGCTGATAAAAAGTAAGGAATGTACAATATGCAAGATTAGCCTTAATGGATATTTTTATGGTATCTTTACGTGTGAATACAAGAACCAACTTTTGTCAAAAAGAATCAGTGCAATGATTTAAAATCTATCAACTATAAAAATCTATGAATCAATAATGACATTATAAAAAAGAAAGAAACCCTCCTTAGTCCCCACTGGAGGCTGCAAACTAATAAATAAAAGGAAAGCATCAAAGTTATATCTTGCCTTCCTTATAAGAATGATATTTCAGGGTCACTAAATAAATAGTTGATGAAGACATTCTTGCTTATAGAATAATTCCAGCTAATAAATTCAGGAGAAATGGTTGTAAATAATGGATTAGGCAATAATTATCAATGGATGCTAAAAGCATCAGGATAAAGGTTAATGGGGAACTTTAAAATGAAGAGATCAGACCTGAAACCTAGGCCATTTTAGCATCATTAAAGGTAAATAACCAATTAAAAAAAAAAAATGAATAACCAAACATTGTATGTCTCATGACATGATGCGCCTCCTATGATATATTCTTGCCTTAAAAAACAAAACACTAAATTTTAATCCACAGTCAGGGAACAGAGGAAGGAACTAGTTAAACAATACCACAAGAAGGAATGGGCCAAAGTCAAAATGTGGCATAGTTCCTAGGACAAATAAATGACCTGGTTTCTCTACAAATCAATGATATGAAGAAGAAAACAGGTTAGGAAGAACACTGTGAAGTAATTAATGTCACTGAATTGTACACTTAAAAATTATTAAAATGACATTATGATTTATATATATATGTGTGTGTGTGTGTGTGTGTGTGTGTGTGTGTGTTTTACAACAATAAAAAAAGAAAAATACAAGAAGCAAATGTGACAGGCTAAGAAACTAGGAAAAACCAAACCAAATCCATTTCCATCGAGTCAATTTCAAATCATAGAGACCCTATAGGACAGAACAGAACTGCTCCATAGGGTTTTCAAGGCTGTGAATCTTTACAGAAGCAGACTGCTGGAGTAGCTGGTAGGTTCAAACTGCCAACCTTTTGGTTAGCAGTCGAGCACTTAACCACTGAAGCACCAAGGCTCCTCCAAGAAACTAGAGGAAGTCTATATTTTGTACAGAATACAAGAAATCAATCCTAGCACTTCTGCTTAACGTGACTTGCTTAATCTTCTCAATGCCTACACAGCTCCTTTTGAAACCACCTTTTTAAGCCATTTATCCATTTTGGAGAATTAGATCGATTGAAATTAGATCATATAATCTCTAAATCTACATTTAAATTGTAAAAGATTGTAAAAGCAGAAATGAATAAGAGAGGGTGATGTCGTCAACACTTTGGCATTACGGGGAGTTCTGGTGGTGCAGTGGTTAAGAGCTTGGCTGCTAACCAAAAGGTTGGCAGTTCAAATCCACCAGCCACTTCTGTACTACAGGGTCGCTATGAGTCTGAATTGACTTGACGGCAACAAGTTTGGGTTTTGGTGGCATTATGGAACCTCCTCCCTTCTTTCAAGATACCTTTGGGAACTGGAAGGGACACACAACCATATCACATTTGTGTAGGGTAAGGGTTCAGCATCATCCATATATTAAGTATTAGTAAAACGTAATGTAACTTTCATTTCTAGATACAAATAACATTTCTATTTTAACTGGTTTTAGCCTCCATTATGCCAACCTTTTAAAAATGTTTAAAAGGGACCATTTATGAAAAAGTGCAACTCCCTCCCCTGTCCCCTGCATCCTGGAGATGGAAGCTGGTGTCTATCCTATGAACATCCTTTCTAAGGGAAGGCCCTCTCCCCCCACCAGTTTCTGTGGTGTTATAACATTATTAGGAGCCCTAGTGGTGCAGTGGTTAAGCGCTTGGCCGCTAGCCGAAAGGTCAGCAGTTTAAACCCACCAGCCAGCTGCTCTATGGGAGAAAGATGAGAGAGTCTGCTTTCATAAAGATTACAGCTTTGGAAACCATACGGGGCAGTTCTACTCTGTCCTTTAGGGCCGCTATGAGTTGGAACTGACTTGAGGGCAAGGGGTTTTTAAAACATTATACCCCACACTGCTCTACTACTACCCTTGCCACAGTGGAATGGACAGAAGGTGAGTACCTAATCTAAAAGCAGTCCTTCCATACTCCAGTGGATGTCACTCTGCCTTTACTCCACTGTCTCATGCTTCCTTATAGCAACTGCCACTCCTCTACTCTACGCAACTTCTGTAGGGTTACCAACTGTCAGACCTTTTACAGACCCTGCAGCAGAGTGGGAACTTGATCTGATCTAACCAGACTACTTAACCCCCACTGGACTCAAGGAGGGCCAGACTTCTTTTGCCACGTGTGATATGGATGTTCTCTGGGATATCTGACAAGGTAAACCTACAGTAGGCTGTACCATCAGTTGGAGAGAAACTAGTTGAGAATGAAATCAAAGAAAAAGAATACAGAGCCAAGAGACACTTGCCCAATCAACTTTATAACACCGAAATGGAAAGAAAGTTTCATTTTTATTCCTCTCTCCTCCATAATGGGCCTTGCTCCCTATATCCAGAATTCTAACTAATGACTATTAGCAATTCAGATTAAATAGGCTTTTATGGGATGGTCCAGGAATTCAATCATTCAATCATAGTATTGTAACGAAGATTTTGGGGAAAGCATATTTCACAGTAGCATTATAAATGATTTATCAAGCCCAATCCATTTGTGTATTGGTGCCTACCTATATTACAAATTAATATCAAACCATACAATAAAACAATGAAAGGTTATTCAAAAAAATGTACAGACTGCATGAAAAACAGAAGAGTTACTCCTAGCATAACTCATCCTCTACTATCAACTCTACTAAAATAGTCACTGGCTATAAAATACAAGGAAAAAAGGCAACCTGATTTGTCAAGATTAAAAGAATTTGTTTCCAAAGAATTTAGCTGACCATATTAACTGCTGGAATGTGAGTGGGATATTTACACGAAGGGAAAGCCTCCAAAAGCTTCTCTGCCTATTCTAAATAGTTTATGGAACCCCCAAACTACACTAGCATTTCTCCTCTCTGACTTCCAATAATACAGGAATATTTATGTATCTACAGGAGATAAACCAAAAGGGAATCTCCACATGTGTGTTCAACTGCCTCCATGAACAAATGCCTCCTTTGCCATGAGACAAAAAGAAGTGGATGGTGCCTAGCTACCGTTACTGAATGCTTTGATCAAAGATTCAGT